AAAAAAAAAAAAAAAAAAAAAAGCTCTTAAGCTATGCTCCTGAGTAGGTAGGATTATAGGCATGCACCACCTGGCCTGGCTACAGACACATTTTTATTTTTTATTTTTTTTTTTGAGATAGGGTCTTGAGACATGGCTGGCCTCAAACTTCACAACTGTTTTTCATGTATCAATCTTGGATACCCTGTAACTTTGCTGAATTTATTAGCTCTATAGTAGTTTTCTTTAGATTCTGTAATTTTCTGTATGTAGGACCATGTCATCTGTGAATGGAGATAATTTTCACTTCCTTTCCAATTTGGATGTTTTAAATTTTTTTTTCTTGTCTAATTGCTCTGACTAAACATCCAGTATAATGCTGAATAACAATGGCAAAAGTGAGCAAACTTGTCTGACTCCTGATGTGAGCAAAAGCTTTCAGACTTTCACCAATAAGTATGACGCTAGGTAAGTGAACAAAACACTAGGATTCGATGTTTGCAGGAAAGCCATTCAGGACTCCTGAAGCAAATCAGGGTTTTCCCTAGAAGCACTACTGAAAACAATGGGGTTAATTCCCCCAGCAAAGAAAACTTGTAGGGTTCTGACAACGTTCTGTCTTTTGGGCTGGGTGGCAGTGCAGTTATATTCTGTACAAATCCTTTAAGTTAATAAATATTATCTGTATCTTTTTCTGTATGTAAGATGTACTTCAATAAAAAAATCTACCAAAAAGGACATAGCCTATACATCAGGCTCCCAGTGACACATTAAGAAAGATACTGTATAAAAACAGAAGAACCTATAAGCACCACTTATTCCTCCCAATTATCATATTGAAGCAATAATGTCAGGATAGTTTCAAGCTAATTTTAATCACGTGATTTTTCCATCCCGTGATTACCAAATCTAAATGTCTATACTAGACTTGGCTATAATAGATTTCCCACAAGTAACAGCAGGAAAAGAGTTAAATGTTTTCCTTTTTAATACTTGAGTGTAACCTACTCCTCCAAGTTGACATTCTTATTTCCATTATATATAAAAAAAGATATTGAATACTAGTCAGCTATAAATATTTATAAGGCATTTTTTAATTAATAGTTATCCATAAATGTGAATTACTAACTTTTCATTTTATATGATAAGGAAGAAAAATACAGAAGTGAAATTGCTTAAGCATACCTAAATTAAACAGAAATATAACTTAACTTATATCTCAGATTTCCCCAATATCAAGGACAAACTTTTAATTATTCTGAGGACATTATAAAGATGACCACTCTAGACGGGCATGGTGGTACACACATGTAATCCCAGCACTTTCGAGGCTAAGGCAGCAGGATAGTGAGTTCAAGGTGAGTCTGGGGTATTGAAGAAAGCCCTGTCTCAAAATAAATAAAAATAAACCAAAAAATATGACCACTTGTGAATAAAAGAATTCACATTCATTTACCTAAAACTTCTCTTTCACCAGTCTGGTTTACTGCCATCTTGGATAACTGCAACAAACTGACCACTAGCTTCACCACAATCCCATCTTGTGGGTTATCTAGGAGCAATTTAAAAAAGCTGAGTTTAAATTATCATGCACACAACACTTATTTTTATAATATGCAAATCTATCAAATTACCTGACTAGAACATTTTTAGAAAGTTTTAAAAGTTTTTAAAAAGGTTTTAAGTTATGAGGACCTCAAAAAATATGTAGCATATGAATTTGAATTTCCTCCTGAACCAGAACCACAAGGAAGTGATCAGTAATATCTGGCAGACAGAGAAAGATATCTTGAATAAACGATGCAGAGAAGTCAATACCTTAGAAAAGTCACAAATGACTAGAAACACAAGACTCACTCAACACTGAAGCTAGAGAGGCCTTTGGGAGTCTGCTTAGTTAGTTAACATCTAGCATTCAGAGTCTAGGTCAGCAATGTCTAGCAGACCTTTGTGCAATGATGGAAACGTCTATAATCCATACTGTCCAATGACGGCTAGTTTACAAGTACTACTGAAAACTTGCCGTTAGAATAATGAAAAAGCTAAATTTTAAATTTTCCTTACTTTTAATCCATTTGAATTTAAATAGTCACAAATAAATAGTGGCTATGTTATATAAGGCAGATCTAGCCAATAAAATATTCAAACACAGGAGAAGAGAAAGTGATATTCATATTTTCTGTATCTTAGAACAAATGCACTAGAAACTCTGAAGTCAGATGGTCAAAACAAAAATTACTTTTAAAAAGTACTGAAGGTAAAAATGATACAATAAAAATATGAAATTAAATGGCACAGGAAGGTGAAACTTTAAACACAATTATAAAATATTGCCCCTGAGTACAATACTGTAATAACATAAACTCACATCAAATTAACATAAAATAGATGTTTTCCTAAGTAAAACGAAAAGCCAGGAACAGGGCTGGCAGTGTGGCTCAAGTGGCTCACGCTTGCCTAGCAATTGTAAGGCCCTGAGTTCAAACCCCAGTACTACCAAAAGAAAAACATAAAAAGCTAGAAACATGTATGAGCACACACATATATATATGAACATAACACACGAGTAAAAGGCTTAAAATGAGAGACTTTTTTTTGTTCAAGGAAACTGAAATACAAGGCAGAGATACATTACCTTTTATGCCTTGCTTTAAAATATTAAAATTTTTCTTTTAGGCAGAAGAAAGTAGGTAAGTTTTTAAAGTAGTAGAATAGCATAATCATACTTGAGATTAATGAAATTATTCTGGCAGAGCATGGATAAAATGGGAATAGTTAAAGGTAAAAGAGACAGGTTAAGACCAATATTATAGTTAGAAGCAAAATGAAGGTCTGAACTACATCTGTGGCAATCAAACACAGAGGAAGCTTCAAAAGATTCTTTAAAAATGCAACAGACAGACAACTGGGAGGGAGTGTGGCTCAGTGGTAGAGTGCTTGCCTAGCATTTATGATGCCCCAGGTCCAATCCTTGGGGGTGTGGGGATAGACAGAAAGAAACAGGCAGAAATAATCCATGTCATTAAAATGAGTACCCTGTGATGCTCTCATAAGATCCATCATCTGATCTTTATGCTGCTCCAGTTGTCTGCGAAGATCTTTCAATCCTTCAAGCCTTGTCAGTGGAAGTGCATCATAAACACTTACGGAGAGAAAATGGTTAATTTCCTAGAGGAAAAAAAATTAGTTTACAGTGTAACTTGCTTTTACTATGTCTCTGAAGAATAAAATACTAGAAAAAAGTTCTATGTGCCTTTTTACAGACACTAACTCATACACCAAAGGGAAATAAATTCCTTCTTCCACTTTAACCCATACAAATCTAATAGATTCTCTCATGATAATGCAGTTAAATTTCAAAACTGTTAGTACCACACTCAACTGTAGGGAAAGGCTTAATTTTCTGTTTATAGGGTAGTATAACTAATTTTACATCTTAGCATATATAAGTATGTTTTCATACTGATTCATGGTCAAACAGACTATGATTTTACAATTGTAATAAAACTTATATAAAAATAAAAATTATTATACTTAATGGGGAAAAACTGAAGCAATTTCCCATATAGTCAGGAACGAGACAAGGATGACCGCTCTCCCCACTCCTATTCAAAAAGTCCTGAATTCCTAGCCAGGGCAATAAGGGAAGAAGAAGAAAAAAAAGGAATACAAATAGGTATTTATTTAAAAAGTACCTCTATTTGCAGATGACATGATCCTATATCTCAAAGATATAAAAAACTCCACCCAAAAACTCCTAGATACCATAAGCAGCTTTAGCAATGTAGCAGGATACAAAATCAACTTACAAAAATCAGTAGCCTTTCTATACACCACCAATGAACAAATTGAGAAAGAATATAGGAAAACAATAGCCTCAAAAAAATCAAATAACTAGGAATATATTTAACAAAGGGTGTAAATGACCTCTACAATTGGACTACAACCCACTGATGAAAGAGATTGAGGAAGACTACAGAAGATGGAAAGATCTCCCATTCTCATGGATTGGCAGAACAAACATAGTAAAAATGGCTATAATACCAAAAGCAATCTACATGTTCAATGCAATTCCCATCAAAATCCCAAAGACAGTCATCACAGAGACTGAAAAATCTACCCTAAAGTTCATTTGGAAACACAAGAGACAGTGAATAGCCAAGACAATACTCAGCAAAAAGAGCAATGCTGGAGATATCATAGTATTCAACTTCAAACTATACTACGGAGCCATAGCAATAAAAACAGCATGGTACTGGCATAAAAAGAGAATATGAAGACCAATGCAACAGAATAGAGGACCCGGATATGAATCTACACAGCTATGCCCACCTTATTTTTGACAAAGGTGCCAAAAACATAGGTTGGAGAAAAGACAGCCTCCAACAAACACTGCTGGGAAAGATGGTTATCTGCCTGCAGAAAACTGAAACTAGATTCCTGCCTATCATCCTTTACTAGTATCAACTCAAAGTGGATTAAGGACCTTAATATCAGACTTGAAACTTTGCAGTTACTATAGGAAGAGCAGGGAATACTCTGGAAGCAACAGGTATAGGCAAGGACTTCTTCAGTAGAACTCAAGTGGCCCAGAAAGGATGGACAAATAGGAATACATGAAATAAAAAAGCTTCTGCACAACAAAAGAAATGGTCTGTAAATTGAAAAGAACACCCAGAGTGGGAGAAAATATTTGTTACCTATACATCAGACAAAGGACTGGTAACTAGAATATAAGGGGAGCTCAAAAAAATCAATGAACCAATAAAGAGTGGGCAATTGAACTAAACAGAACTTTTGCAAAGGAATAAAATCCAAATGGCAAAAAACACATGAAAAAATAATCACTATCCCTGGCCATAAAGGAAATGCAAATCAAAACCACACTAAGATTCTACCTCACTTCTATTAGAATAGCTATCATCAAGAACACCACCAACAACAAAAGTTGGCAAGGATGAAAAGAAAAAGGAACCCTCGTACACTGCTGGTAGGAATGTAAGCTAGTAAAACCACTTTGGAAAACAATATGGAGGCTTCTTAAAAAACTAAACACAGATCTGCCATATGATCCAGCAATCCCACTCCTAGGGATATACTCAAAGGAATGCAACTCAGGTTACTTCACAAAGGCTCCTGCACACCCATGTTTATTGCGGCACTATTCACAATAGCCAAGCTATGGAAACAGCCAAGATGCCCTACTACCGAGAAATAGATTAAGAAAGTGTGGTATTTATAAGCAATTATAGGCTGAATAAAATTCAGCCACAAAGAACAATGAAATTTTGTCATTCGCAGGAAAATGGATGGACCTGGAGAACATCATCTTAAGCAAAAGTTAGCCAGGCTCAGAAGGCCAAAAATCGCATGTTCTCCTCCATATGGAGATTATAGAACTAAAACAAATGCAGTAATATTGGACATGGGTCATGAACTGAGGGGAGAATGTGCACAGGAGGAATACGGAAAAGGAAGGAAACCTAAAACTTGAATGTGGTTGATGTGCTCACTGCAGGGGAGCGAATATAGTAAACTTGCTGGCAGAGGCCACTATAGGAAGGGGGCTGGGAAGTAGTGAAGAGGTCTGGTACAGATGAACCAATTTGGTTTGTAATACACACATACATGGAAGCAATGCTAGGAATCTCTCTGTATAGCTATCTTTATCTCAAACTAGCAAAAATGCTATGTCTTTCTTATCTTTTACGTTTTTTCTTCAACAAAATCAGAGAACAAGAGGGCAGAACAGGTTTTGCCTGGAAGAGTGTGTGTGGGGGAAGGTGGCCCAAACAACGTATACACAAGTGCTTAGATGTAAAAATGATAAAACTTAAAAAAATAAAATAAAATACCGAGTCCTTAAGAAAAAAAAATTTATAAAAATATACCTGAATGTAATTTTGAAGTTTATAAAGATTAAAGCAGGATTAAAACTGAAATATTCTTTAAAAAGTTAAGTATCATCTCTAAATTGACTCTCAAAAGATCAAATGATAATTCTGTATTAATGGACCACAGGATCTTATATGTGTTAAGATCAAGAGCATCTTACGTCACATTCCTTGACTATTAAAACTCCTATCTTCACCAAGAAGGCTTGATATCATACTTCAAATGCAATGCAAAGAGATAATACGTATTAAGATTCATTATTTAACAGAGAGTGAATCTCACGTGTTATTAGGTTGCTTTTTAATTTTTACCATAATAAAAAAATTCAAGTTTTTACCACAGAGCATTACAGATTTTTGGAGCATTTACAGATACTGTCTATGTTCTCAAATACAAAACAGTAATAAGATGGAATTTTTATTACCTCCAAGAGTGAAAAGGGTCCTCTACTGTATTTGATTTTCTGCTGAGTAACTCGCAAATCCTTAAAAACAACATGTTCAGGAAAAGGATCTAAAAGCTTAATCGTGAGGTAGAGGTTTTCATTATCCTTGTTATCTATCACTAAGTATTTCAACAAGTCCAATACCTAAATAATTAAAAAAGAAAATTTAAAGGGGAAAATCCTTAATCATATTTCAAAATAAGACAACCAAAACCTATTGCAATAAATGATAAAAACTCTGCTAACCTACTTCAGATAAAATGTCCAAATTGTAAGATACCCAGATTTAGTTTCTGTGCTTTTAAATAATTCAGCAAACATATAAGGTGCTGTACAAGGTGGACACTGAGATATTAAAATCCCAACATTAGTGAAACATTTTATATATAAGTACTGTCTCACGCAAAATCATAGTGGCGTAAACTGCTCTCCCTAATTTTGGCTTCTATACTTCAATGTAAGTAATACACAAAACTATTAGATTATTTATTAGATCAAAATTACCAAGTGTTATATAATTAACTGATTAAAAAAATAAATTCATTAAGAATGTATTCCTAGCCATTTTTCATAAAAACATTTTCATTAAAATTACTGAGTATAGGAGCTGGGTATGTAGTTCAATGGTAGAGTACATGTCTAGCAGGCACAGGAGCCTGGGTTGGACACCCAACACCACCAAAAAACCTATTGATTACATCAAGTAAAAATAAAACATTCAATTCCTAACAACACATTATTAATATTCCACATATACCATTTTGAAGATGAATTGAGAAATTACCTGTTCCCGAACTTCCACCTGATTATCCACAAGGGGTATAAGCGAACCAACAATAACATGAAGATGGTTTTCTAATGCATCCTTACAGTGAGTCACCGCGGCCTGGCAAACCTGACTTAATAGGTCACAGCAAAGAGAGAAGCTACGTAATGTCACATCCATGAAACGTGAAGGCCTAACAGGAAAAAAAAGCAACAGGTGTAGAAAACTGCTGTGAAATAAAATCGTTCAAGTCACTTTTATTCAACAGCTCTAATTCTGTCCTGATATAACTTGACATAAAAGTCACTTTATATCACTTTAATGGTTTAATGGCCAAAGAGGAAGGAACATCAGCAAAATACAGAATAGGCAACTCAAGCTCCCATCCAAACAGAAATATTGAAAATAAAACTGTTCCAAACAGTTAAAAAAAAAAGTCAAAGTTCTACAGCAATCAAGAAAATGCTGAATCAAGAAAAAAGCTATCAAAACACTGTAGGAAAACTTTGTAGAGGTTTTAATTTTCCTTGCCTGCCCCGTTCACCCAGCTCAGCAACAGTCAGGAAAATAGCAGCCTACACCCTCAGTGTGACATACTGGTTCATACTGTTGTTTTTATTTTTTTCTGGTGGGACTGGAATTTGAACTCAAGAGCTTTGAGCTTGCAAAGCAGATGCTCTACCACTTTAGTCACACCTCCAGTACATTTTGCTCTGGTTATTTTGGAATTATTATTATTATTTTGAATTATTTGCCCAGCCTGGCCTCAAACCTTGATCCTCCTGATCTCAGCCTTCCAAGTAGCTAGGATTATAGGCATGAGTCACTGGCACCCAGTTTAAACTGGTTACTTTTTTTCTTGGCAGTACTGGGGCTTGAACTCAGGGCCTCATGCTTGCTAGCCAGATACTTTAACACCTGGGCTACTCTGCAAGCCCTTATACTGGGTTTTAAGGAAGCAAAGGGACCTTATTTGTAAGCTATTGTATATGTCTATTCTAACCTGACTGGGAACTGTTTGAAGGACTGGTGCAGGGGACTTGCTCTGCTTTGCTTAAAAGATATCATTCAATGAGAAAAGTTGAGGGCATTGCTTCAAAGTTTGTAAAGCTAACAACCTACAGGTAAAGAGAACTAAAGGTTACTGTTGAAGACAGGTGTGGTGAAGCATGCCTGTAATCCCAGCACTCAGAAGGCTGAGGCAGGAGGATCACGAGTTTGAGGCCAGCTTGGGCTACATATGAGTGCCAGGGCAGCATGAGCTACATAGTGAGAACCTGTCTCAAAAAACCTAAGATTACTGTTGAGATATACAGCAGACTGCCTAATGCCAGTGAGGAAAGGCAGGGAGATTTTCTTTGGAAAATGTGAAAGCACCCACAGATCAAAAGCTATACACATGCCCAAGGCTGGACTTTTGGTGAGAAAAGAGTAGAGGATACCCTAAACATTTACTTGGGCGTGATTCCAAGGATGACAAAGCTCTGAAGACAGTCCTAGCACAGAATCTATCTGCAAACACTAGGAAAAGTTTTATTCCTTTCTTTCAAGTCTCCTTCTACCCCCAGCCCTCCTGACATTCAAGGAAATCTCTGGCAAGCACCCTCGAATACATGCAAAGAAAGAGCTGGACAGCTGACATGAACAGCAGGGATACACATTCTGAAAGGAAATGGATGGTCATGAACCAGACTGCTCAATGTTTAAGGATAAAAAGTAGAAAGGTCAAACCCTGGAAAAGGGGAAAATCTGATCTCTACACTTACCACACTATATATTGAAATGGTTAGTTTTCAGTACAAAATCGCAAGATGTAAAGTTTAGTCTATTCAAAGGAACAAAATTTATTAACAGAAATCATTTCTAAAGAAGTGAAGACGTGAAATCACTAGAGGGGAAAAAAAAAACACAAAACAACTCTCCTAAGTATGATTTTAAAAAAAAGCTTAGGGATTAATGGAAGCTAAAACACAACACATAGAAGCAAAAATGGTAGCACTGAGAAGGAAATCTGTGATAGTAAACACCTCCATTTTAAAAAGCAGATGGATCTCAATAAATCACCTAATTCCATATCTTAAGGAAATCAATATTATTAAAATCCCCATGTTCACGCTACTACGCTATATATCTCCTATACTCATTATAGCACTGTTCACAATAGGCAAGAAATGGAATCAGCCTATGTGTCCATCAACGGATGAACAGAAGATGTGGTAAAAACACACAATAAAATACTGCTCGGCCATAAAAAATAATAAAATATTATTTTTACACCATGGAAGGAACTGGAAGGCATTATGTTAAGTGAAATAAAGGTACAGAAAGAAATGCCATGTGATCTTACTCAGACATAGAATCTAAGAAAGGTAATCTTATAAAGTTGAGAATAAAATTGTGGTTACCAGAAGCCAGGGAGAGGAATGGAGAAAGCTTGGTCAATAGTTACTAAGTCACCTATAATCCCAGTATTGGGGGACAGAGGCAGGAGGATTCCAAGTCTGAAGCCAACCTGGGCTCTGTAGTGAGTCCCTGTGCCTGATGAACAAAAAAAAAAAAAAAAAAAAGGTATTCTATTGCACAGTAGGATGATTACAACAGTAATGTACTATATGTTTCAAAAAAGCTGGAAGAAATCATACTGAATGATCTCACCACAAAAATGATAAATACTTGAGATGGATATGTTTAAGGGGTGGAGGCACGGCTCAAGTGGTACAGCACCTGCCTAGCAAGCAGAAGGCCCTGAGTTCAAAGCCTCCCCCGCCAAAAAAAACAGATGGATATATTACTTGTCTCATTTCAACATTACACATGTATCAAAACCTCACATACCCCATAAATACAATTTTATGTATTAATTTTAAGAACTCATAGGTAGATACAAGATGCATTTTAAGAAGCAATACTCTGGCATCTACTTCATTGAAGCATATAAAATTTTAATTAAAAGAATAGGTATATACATTGATCCAATGTGTTACTTACCTTTTGTTGATAGAGTGAATCAAAGTGTAAATAACATCTCGAAGAACAAAGGCCCATGCTCCTCCCAAGCCACTTTTTATGTCTTTCAGTAGTAAACTAACAAATAGGTGATATATTTTAAGAATTCTGTGCCTTTTATAAACATTATTGGTCTCAGTTGCTTGCTCACAAATGGCTAGAAGAATTTTTTGATAAGAATCCTAGAAAATAAACACACATTTAGTAAAAATTAATTTAATCACATACACTCAACGGTAAAAATACATTTTTTATTTAAAGTAGCTAAATTACATAATTTAGATTTGGGGTTGATAGTAATGTAAAATGTACATTAAGAAAATTATGTTTTTAATTTAAAAAATTATTTCAATTTGTTAAGTTTTCAGATAGTAAAATTTAATTAAAGTGTAAACAGTGAATTCTCTGAACTAATATGACTGAAGTATGAAATTCTAGCCTAATGTGCAACACAATTTCAGTTAATGCTAATATAACAAGGTAAAAACTTGTAAATGAGTATTTTTTCTTTTGAAATTATTCAAATAAAATTTTATTTATTTAATTTCTCTCCTTAGGATGGACTAACATCGATTTTCTAGCTGAAAAAAGAATCCACTCATGAATTTTATACTAGTAATTTATACTTACAGGGCTTTTGGAAAGGATCTCTAAAATGCTTTTAAACTTGGTTTTGTGACAATTGCTGATGTAGGCAAATGTTGCTTTAATAACACGTGATGGGAAATACGGTGGATTAGGAGCAGGATCCAAATCCCTGAGAAAGTTACAGGAAGACATGTAGCCAGCACTTTCAAAACAAAATTATTAAGGAAAAAAACCAAGTTTTTTTGATAGACCAGTGAATTTCAAAACACAAAACAAAAACTCAAATTTTAAAACTATTTTTTAATTGAAAACTTATACTTCTAATAAACTCACAAATGACAGAACACAGTTCACATATATAAGTCAGAATATCTAAATATATTTCACCCCTTAAATGATTTGCCTAAAATAACTTGGTTAAGTAATCTTTTATAAAGTTCATGATGGCTTCAAAAATGAGCCTTACTATTATTTCATTCAGTTCTGAATTAAAACTTTATACTAGTACTAGTACTAGCAATAATATTTTAAGTCAATAAAGGCACAGAAAGAAATACCACATGATCCTACTTAGAAATGGAGTCTAAAAAAGTGAAAAGCAGTAAGTTGGAAAAACAATTCTAACATTCGTATACGACCAAGTGGGGTTCACATCCAAATTAAATTATACACCTAAAGAGCATGACTGTAACAGCTAAGGAGCATGAAAAAGAAAAGTGATATAAAAAGGCAAGACATAAATAGGAGGAGAAAGAGGAATAAAGTGGATAGAGAAAAAAATAAAAAACAACAACAGATGGCACAATACTTCAATATTTCAGAAAGACTGCAAAGAAAAAGATTAACAGATTTCCCAAGAAAGTGGTGACCAAGTACTGTGGGGAGGCTAAGGTAAGTGTGGGTAAGGTAATTACTTCAAGTCAAATGTGACTCTTTTTAAAGAACCAATTTTAATAAAAGAGTTCATGTCTAAAAACTGAAATAGATACTTGAAAGTGTAAACCTATAAACTGAGGAATTTGCAAAGTTGCAGCTACTTCTCCAAGTTTAAGTGTGCATACCCTGAAAAGTCACCGAGGTCAGTGCTTGGGCTGGCACTAGAAATTGCCGGTTCATGTAACGTCATCAATAGTTCCACCACAATCTCTGGTAAGTTACTAATAAATAAATGATCAATCTGCAAGGAATAAATAAGATATAAATAATAAAATATACTGAACATTTTTATATCTGTAACCCTTAAGACAGCACAAAGGGCTTATGTTTTTTCTTCATTTCAAAAGTTACTCCATGACTATAAAAAGTTAACTTCACGACTTTCTTCTGTGTGGCCAACCTGTGAACTGAGATGAGTACAGGGAAATCATACCAAAGCCCCTTAAAGACAATTCTTTAAAGAATCATTTTAACCAAGATTTTATATTTAGTGTTAAATTCCTCAAACTGTTAATTCTCCTGCCAACCAAAATTCCCAACAAATCCTCTATTTGCATTTTTTTTAATTTATTTGGAAACTGGAGTAGAATTTTACTGTCAAGAATTCCCAATGACTGACAGTAGTCACATTTTTATGCCTGCATGACTTCTTCCTAGACTTGTACTTGTGTGATATCCCACATTTTGAAACTAGCTTCTACATACATCCCCTGTCAACTATAGTAAACTGAAATCCTTCCTCAGAGAAGCTGACTTTTCAACAATATGTTTTCTGCCACAAGTCACCTCACAAAGCGCATAAATTCTCTAGACACAAAGAAGGAGCCATGTGTGATGGAGCATGCCTATAGAGCCGGCTACTGGGAAGGCAGATGCAGAAGGCTCCAAAGCCTTCAAAGTTAGTCAGGAACTATCTCAAAAACTAAATACAAACAAAAGGGCTGCAGATGCAGTTCAAGTGGGAGAGGTCTTGCCTGGAAGGCTTAAGGCCCTGGGTTTCTATTCCAAGTATTAAAAAAAAAAAAAAAAGGGAAAATAAAGCAATGGATGAGAACTGTGAAGTTATAAAGGTAGATTCCAAAAAAGGCATTACAATGCTCTAAACTAAAACCTAAATGACTAATTTACTTGATGTATACACACCTCTTAATACCAAAATATTCAGAAGTTAACAAGAAATCCTAGGCTCTCCCTCAGACTTACATATCAGTTGCCTGCATCATCATCTCCCAGGTTTCAGCCCTTCTAAAATCCAGCTTTATTCCAAATCACATCTGGAGTAAGTAAAGAAAATCTGGCCAAATCTCATTAATAACAGAGGAATAATTAATGACTTCTTGTGGATACTATAACTGCCATCTCTAGTTTCACATGGTTGTCTAGTAAGCCAGATCTGCAATGTTAGTAAAAGTCAAAATCAATTGTTTAGGTGCTTAGGTCTAGCTAAACAATCCTATAAACTGCAAACATTATAGGCATTCAACAAAGGATAATTTTAGAAGACTCAAAGACTGTTCATAATTGTCCTACCATTTATCCATGGGAAAAAAAAAGCATCTAGGAGATTGATTCAAAGTATGTATTAGAATAATACACAGTAGGTGGAAAAGGATAAGGAAAAGCATTAGAGGGGGTTTGACTAATTAACAACTACTTGTTTGTTTAGTTATTCCTTATTTATATCTAAACTAAATAAATAAGGAGTGACCAAACTCTTTTTACTTTAAAAATTAATGTTTTTAATAAGTTGCCTCAAATAATTTTTGAAGTACATAAATTAATGTAATGCTAAATTGAATTGATTAGCAAGAATTTATGTTTTTAACTAAGAAGCTAAGAAATTATCAATTTTGCTTCTCTTCATCTGTGTTATAATCAGGATTGGATGTAATCATGATTCCCTACTAAACCTATTTTGACTCTGAAAGTGGTTATTTTTTGGTTGAATACATGCACACACAAAAAAAAAGATGATTAGGGGTACACAGAAGTGAAGTGTCTTAAATTCCGTATCCTTTAGAGTGCCAACATTCAGTTCAAACTGTATTTTAGGAAGAGTCCTATGCTTACCATTTGCCTCCAGAGTACAGACTTACAAACAGTTCTGGCTGGGTCCACCTACACAACTAAGGGACTTGCTGTTTCATTTTCTGGTTCAATGCAGGTAAATAGGAAATCAAGAAGTCTCTAGTCTGTAGTAGGGCACCAGTAGCTCACACCTATGATCCTAGCAACTAAGGAGGCAGAGATCAGGAGATCAGAGTTTGAAGCCAGCCCCAAGAAAATAGTTGGTGAGAACTTATCTCAAAAATACTTCTCAGAAAAAAGGGCTGAGTGGCTCAAGAGGTAGAGTGTCTGCTTAGCTGCTTGAGGCCCTGAGTTCAAACCCCAATGCTGCTAAAAGAAAAAAGAAAAAGAAGTCTCTTGTTTAATGTAATTATAATATTAACCAAGTTTATTTGGTCATCTCTTGCTTAAATCCATAATAAATAAGGAGTAACTAAACACTACCTCGAAAAAACTTATGTTTTAATATAGGTTGCCTCAAATAATCAAGTATACAAATTACTATAAAACAAAGCTTGTCAGATCCTTCTTTACTTGTCTCCTCCTTTTAACAAGTATCTTTTTTTTTTTTGAGACAGGCTCTCATCTAGCCCAGGCTGGCCTCCAACTCTTTTTTTTTTTTTACCTTTTTTTTTTTTTGCAGTACTGGGACTTGATCTCAGAGCCTATACCTTGAGCCATTTCACCAGTCATTTTTGTGTTAGGTATTTTCAAGATAGGGTCTCACACAAACTATTTCCCAAGTTGGCACTGAACCACGATCCTCCTGATCTCTGCCTCTTGAGTAGCTAGGATTACAGGCGTGAACCACCCGGCTTTAAACTCTTAATACACCTGCATCAGCCTCCCAATGCTGATCTTACAGACATGTATCGCCATACTTGGTTCTAACAAATACATAAGTAGCAATTACATACTAGGTGGTTAGGGGATAAATAAGCAAAAAAGAAAGAAAGAATCAAAAAATTCTACCTTGTATTATAGTGAAGAAGAGTGATAATTAAGCAATGAACACAGTTCAAAGCAAATTATTTGTTAGAAAGTAAACAATGTCAGGATGAAAGAAAAAGCAGGGTATGAAACTTGGGATGGTAATTTTTCTTGACAGTGGGAAACTTGGTGAGACTGGAGGAAACGAAGATGATTTTCTATACTCTATTGAGTATTACTTGAATTTAACAACCAGCTTTCATTCATGCATTACAGGCAATTAAAATAAATTTTTAAAATGCAGAAGCAAATTATTTGTTCTTATTAAAGTTTCATTTCTTTTTCTTTGTTTTTGTTGTTGCTATTTCTAATTAAAAACATTCCACTTATTTAAAAGCCAGTCAAATATCACATACATATGCAAAACATGTTTCCAAAAGTGGGATTGTAAGAGGAGAATAAGGAAGGAGGAAAAGAAGAAAAGAACAATAGAGAGTGAACAAAATTGAAGTACATCACATCTGTATAGGAATGAAGCAAAATGAAAACTGCTGAATAATACGGGGTAGGGGAAAAGGATAAGGAAGAGCATTAGAGGGGGTTTGACTGATTAAAGTTCAATATATTTACAAGTTAAATACTAAGGCAAAACCCCAATGAACAACAACAGACACTAAAACAATGAAGGACAGGAATGGAAAACAGGTTAAGTTACGGGGAGGGTAACAGTGGAAGGAGGAAGGTAAATAAGGAGGGTAAAAGAGAGTGAATATGGTTGAGGTACTGTCTATGCATACATGAATATGGAACACTAAAACCTGTTGAAGAAATTTTGAGAAGGGGAGTGGGAGAAGATGGAGATTAATGGAGGGATGCACCAAACTGGGGTATTATGTGTGGATACATGGAAATGTCACAACAACAACCCCTATATAACTATTGCATACAATAAAACCATTTAAAAAGAAGCCAATCAAAGAGAGAAAACGCCATAAACAATAAAAGTCATAGGTTGGGTAGTGATCACATGCTAAATTTAATTGTACAAATGATGAATAAATAGCCTTATAATTTAAAAGCTGAATCTGAAATCACTTAAGGGATAAAAAGTTAATAAAAATTGAATCCATACCTGTCTTCCCAATAGGTTCTCACTTTTCAGAATATCATAGACTTTGGTTGCAGTCTCCCTTTGCTGTGCCATCCTACTGTCTGGTGTACTCTCATAGGCAAAATAAGGAAGAATATTTACAAGAATCTTTGGAAAGCAGTCTATTAGAAGGCTTTTCCAATCCTTTTGAATCTGATTAGCAATGGACTTCACTTCATCAAAATGACTTCTAATAACCAAATGTGGAATCAAAACCTTGTAATATGATCTAAAAATATAAAAATTTAAAATATATATTATATATCTTTTCAAAGTAAAATTTTATAATATACTTCTTAAATTTTTTACTTTTTCTAAAAAGATAAAAATTTAAAATATACATCATGTATCTTTTCAAAGTAAAATTTTGTAATATACTTCTTAAATTTTATTTTTTTCTTTTATAATATACTTAAAATACTAAAGTGCTTTAATATAGTAAGCATTAGAGTATTACTTTAGATAATTAAATATTCTTACTCTATTTTATAAATGGAAAAATAAAGTTAAGCAAATTCTAGTCATATACACACACACAACCCTCCAAAAAAGAACTTAGGCTATACCAACCTTACTTTCACAATCAAAAAGTGGGACTTTATAAAAATTTCTTAATCAACATAATGCAAAATTATTGTAAAATGAAATGTAAACATGATTTATAAATTCAAGGAAGAAAAAAAATTGCTATTACCAAAAGGAATGAATGATAAGAACCACAAAATTCACTTCTGTCTGAACAGCCTTCTTTAAGGGCCTCTATCTACATACAACTCTTCATAATCTATAAAAATGTAGAGAGCTCTATTATGGACACCTCACATCTCATCATGATATACTCCACGCCAAATGCCTAGTGAGGTGCTGAACAAATGCACGACTGCCCATAATCTGATACCTTAGCAATACTTTTCAGTTGTTTCAAACCTCTCCATTTTCAAAACTCCTTTCCAGAACTATAGTTAGCAAAATTCTTTTAAATTTCTAAATCTAATAGAAATAATAATTACCCTATTATCAAGCAAAAGAAAAAAATCAAGACAGAAATCATCAGCCACTTGTAATTTATCTTTTTTTTTTCCAAAAAGAGAGGGCATAATATAAATACATGCATTTTGCCCAAACTGGGCATTGACACAGCGAGGACCAGATCCTAAGACCCAAGGTGACACCCTCAAGACAGCCTCATTTAAACAAGCTGCCTTGTTTCTCATACTGTGACGTCTCCTACCCGCTCTAGGGAGGTGGGGGACAATGGTGGTGCCAAACACTAGAACCCAACTCTAAATTAAACATTTTTTGCACGTGCTATATATAAACATACCTGTAGAAATCCTCAACATTTCTGTAGTTTAATAAAATAAAAGGAAAAGAAGATAAGCTGTATTCAGTTTCTTGAAGATTTAGCCATTCCAAAACCAGATAATCTAAATGAGAAGCCATGAAGTCTTCTAAACGTCTGTATCCAAAAGTTTCAGAAACTTTCTCTAAAACCTGCACAAACCAAAAAGATAATGCTTCAAGAAAATGAAAAAAATTAAGTCATTTAAATCCTTGTGGCTATTATTTACAGTAGGGCTTTGAAGCATTCATTTAACCTTTCTACACCTTGATTTCCTCATCAATAAGAGACAACAAAAGTAAAAAAAAATTATTTAACATAACTGGCATAGCATCCAGAAAACAGAAAACCCTTAATGTTAAATGAATAAAAGCACAAAAACATATTGTAATTTCTAGCTTCTGATGTATTTCAAAGGAAGGTGGAAGGTAAAATTATTCATCTCAGTCTTAAATCCAAATTTTAAGAAATACAAATATTATATACCACTTATAATAATTTTGAAGTATAATGGTATACTTTTGAAAGAAAAAACTTAGTTTAATACTGAGATATAAAAGGTTGATTTGTCTAAGACCAAAATTACCTATAGGTTGGCCTACTATGAAGCTCCATGGAAACTATGCTGGTAAAATGTTAAAAGTTTACAACAGAAAGGGTTGGAACTTCCCAAACCATAAATTCTGCATTGGTAGAATAGGAAGGAGAGCCACATTCTACAGCATGGGCTGTAAGGATGCAAGGATTGGACCTGGTCTCCCTCCCTAATCACAGCCCAAATATTTGGCCTCTGACCTTCTTAAATCCCAGTGTGCTGCCCCAGAATCTACCAGGCAAAAACAACTGCCCTTATTTCCACGTGATTCCCTCAATAAGTGCTATTCCAGAGGGCATGTCTGTGCAGGTCATTTGACCTTACAAATTAAACAAATGCTTCATAACATGCTCTTAGAAATGTAAGAAATCACACTGCACACAATTTACCATTAAAGGAGTTATTAAACTGGGCTGGGGTTATGGCTCAGTGGTAGCATGTCACCCTGGTGCCATGGATTTGAACCCAAGCACAAACACACACACAAGTTATTAAAGTACTTTTCAGTTTTCCCAACCTAAAAAAATAAAATTGTTGCCAGGTCTTGAATAGACAAGAGCTAATTTAAAAATAATTTTAACCCTTTTAATTGTTTAGAAGTTATCCAAGGGCCTGAAGATGCAGCTTAGTAGTAAAGCGCTTGCTTAGTATGCATGAGGCCCTGGGTTCAAACCCTGGCACCATACACACACACAAAGAGTGTTAGCCAAGGAAGGGTATTATAAAAAGCATTCATCCATATATACCTTTTTTGCGAGGTGAGATTCTAATCCATTCTCTTTCACAGATTTGCATAAGGCAAACAAAGCCTGTTTTTCACAGATAGGGCTAGAGTATAAAATCACAGCTATCGTCATCAGTAAAACAGATTTTCTATTATAAATCTCATCCAAAAGGTCAGGGTTCTCAGCACCGTGGGACTTCAAAAGAATTGCAAAGACAATAATGTAAATAAGTATTACTAATGAAACAATGAGGCTAAAATCCAAATACTCCATGACATCTAAACAGCCTGTGAAGAGTTTTAAATTACACAGTGATAGAGCCAAGAGTGAAGATCTGAGAAAATACGTTTTCCACAGTAGGAAAGACTGCTCTTCCTAAGGTCTTCTGGAAAGACTTGCCAAAGGAAAACATTTCAGTGACGCATAATGCACCACAAAAAAGTGAAAGAAATAGCAGGAAAAAATGAGATATTAAAAGTTCTTCTACTATGAAGTATAATTTATAATTTTATCATTTTAAAAAACCTTAATTTATAGCTCTTTGTACCTTTAAAAATATTGTCACCTATATTATTAGAAGCAACAATAAAATCATGCAACTAGATAGAATGATACATGCTTTGAGTTGAATGATCCATTACCATAAAAATCCTAATGGGCATCTACATTTTTTGACTATTCATATTTGATGCAAGTTTTTCTTTGCATTTAGAAAATCTGCCAACTCACTAACTGTAGTTTTCTGTTTGGGTACAAGAAAAAATTAAGGACCCACTTTCTCTACTAAATGGCAATTACTAACATGCTGGAAAACAGGTATGAGCTTTCCACTAAGTCACGTCACTCATGTATTCCTTAAAAAGACACTGATATACTGTCTAAAATCCTGGTTTAAAAATGGACTTTTAGGACTGTCACTATAGCTCAGCAGTAGAGCTTCCTAGCATGGGTTCAATCCCCAGCACTGCAAAAACAACAAAACTCAAAAACATTTACTCAGAACTACACCCAACACCAGCACACCTTTCAAAAGCATAGAAGATCCAAGTTCTTTGTGACAATATGTTTCTATTAATGAAGTGTAAGATAGAATTTGCTTTTCTGATAACTGTATCAAAGTGCTGATTCATCCTGCAATCTTAAGATGTAAAAGGTCATAGGTCTTTTTCTAAATGAACTGTCAACATTTTCCCTTTTTTTTGCAGATGATGAACTAATTTAAAATGTATAACATACATTATCTCCATTAAATTTTATATTATTTACACCTATCTTTCCAATCTCTTGAAATCCTTTTCTAAATTCACATTCCTTCATCCAACTGTCCAATTCCAGCTATTACAGATTTGATAATCACTTAACTAACCACACTAAATCCTTTAAAACAACAAATTAAGGGAAAAATAAATCACCAAATATGAGTATTAAGACAATTTTTACTATCTTAAGAAAAAAATAATTACATAGAGAAATGTGAAAATCACAAGTCTCACTAAAAACAAGATAATTTTTATGTGATGTTAGAATCTTTTTCTCACTATATTTCTACCTATTGTCACCTATATTCTTAATTAGCTCTTAACCAGATCTTACATCAATAGGATTTCTTAAATAAAAAAGGAAGCCATTTAAACACCCATTAAAGCAGTTAAAATTTGGTTTTCCCCCACAAAGTACTAAAAAGTAATATACGGGATATTCTTAGAAAGCATGTGCTAATAGCAAATACACATTACTAAAATTACCACTTCTCTCATTCCTTCCTGAGCTTTCAAGTATGCACTTTCAAAAGCTGTTTGTTGAAGTCTCAGAGGAAGCGCTTTCAGTAATCTGGAACAATCTCCTTGCTTCATGTCTTGGAATAATCTTAAAAAAAAAAGTAAAGTAATTTCAAACTTTAGAACAAAAATAAACTATTCTGTGAGACAAATACACTAGCTCTTTCTTCAAAAGATTAATGAGGACCAACAGAGCGGCTCAAGTGCCTGGATAGCAAGCATGAGGCCCTGAGTTCAAATCACCAATACTGACAAAAAAACCAAAACAAACAAACAAAAGACTAATGAAATTTGAGTCCATTTTAACAAGTCCAGACCATCTGCTTATTACTGAGATCCTGAATATATAATCCATTTTCTCCTATAACTGAAGAGAGTATCAAAAGATCTAAATGGGCTGGTAGAGTGGCTCAAGCAGTAAAAGCACCTGTCTAGCAAGTGTGAGGCCCTGAGTTTAAACCCCAGTGCTGCCAAAAAACAAACCAAAAAAAACCTATTAACTATTGATTAAATCTGAACAACACTCAACTCAAACAGCCAGAAAAAGATATATTGTCCTCTTGTCAAACACCAATTACACGAGTCCAAAACCTCCTACGTCGATCTGTTCTACTATTTAATTAACCCATAAGCTTTCAGCTGACTGCCTTGGCATTCTAATTAAATTTTGTTTTCTGTGATAAAGAAAAGATGGTCAGTACCTTTTGTATAATATTCACATATTTAAGGTAACTCTTTAATCAATTTCTCCCTTTATACTTTTTAGGAAACAAAAACTTGTTAGTGTTCTGATTCCTCCAATTTCTCTACTCTGGCTTAAACTAGCCCAATGTTAAATATCTAACAAGTGAAAAACCACAACAAATGCTACTTTCATGTCATTACTGGATTTGTACTTTTTGAATCTTAAGAGAATTTTTTCTATGCTGCCACTACACTGCATTATTACATTCAACTTACAGCCTTACACAACACTAGACCTTTAACATGAGCTCACACTTTCTTTTATCTGTGAAAGTCAGTAAGGAATTGGGGTAGTATCCATGTTCATTAGTTATCCATAAAATGCACTATGATCTTACTAAAATGAACTCTAACCCTGAGGAATGACACACAAAATCTGGTTCATGGAAACACTGCTGTCATCATATTCAAATTTTGGACCCATTAGTTCTAACACTTATTCTTGTGACTGCTGAGACTACTTATGTTTGGAATCTATTATTACATCTAAATCTGTTGCTTACATTTGAAAAATAAAGTTACTCAAATGATCTTCAGCTTTGATGGTTTTAAGGCAGCATGTAACTTTTTTTTTCAAATACACTCACTTATTTTCCCAATTGTTACTTAACACCTACCACATGCCAAATATTGTTTTAGGCCCTAAAAATATAGCAATGAGTAGAACAGAAAAAAACCAATGTCTTCTAGGAGCTTTTATCCTAGTACAACAGGGAGAAGAAATATGTTAAAATACATTATTTCAAGTGGTAATAAATGCTACAGGGAAAAATAAAGCAGGGAAGTGCTATACACAGAGTGCAAGATGGGGAGATTTAGAGGTAGGTTGCAATTAGAGTTTTTAAAATCAACTGGCTAACCAGATAAATATGTAATCCTTAAGAAACTATCATCTGTTTAATCAGGAATTCAAACCTAAAACAAGATCCCCATGACAGAATCATCCCAGTGGCTAATTGTATGTTCACCCCAGAAAATGTAATTGTAATTAGCACCATATAAAATGTAACAACAGTGAGTTTACAAACTCACATAAAACTGTGTTAATATCCAAACATTGTATACCTCCCTTAAGTGGCAGAATACACATCTTACTCAAGCTAACAGCCTGTGAGCTCTATGGCACTAAGCAAGTTACTTTACTTCTCTAAGCCAGAGCTTTCACTTTTAAATTATGGGGAAAAAGTGGGAGAAAATGATGGCATGTAAGTGATGGAACTATCTGAATTAAGAGAAAACAGAAATGCTAGACTCACAGTTTATGCTCAGTAAGTCCTAGTTATTGTTAATATCAGAACTAGTGGGTTGTGACTGCTTGATATTGCATTGCTATCTTTAACATTATAGTCACTTCATGAAAACCTAACTCATTACCTATTTATTGACACTGCAGCCAACATGCGAACTTGGTGATGATCATCAGCAAGGAATTGTGGAAATACTTCATTTACAGGGAAGTCTTTTCCCATTACATTAAGAATAGCCCATTTTGAATATGGATCAACCTATTAGAAAAAGAGCAACTGAAGCTAAATATGTAATGTTAAGAGAAAAATCAATCATTCATTCACAAACAGCAATAAAAGCAGCTTTAAAATTTCAATGGAAACCTTACTAGTAATAAAGAATAACTCACCTCAAGCAGGGCTTTAAGGCACTTTACTAAAGCCATTCTTACTGAGAATGTGCATTTCTTTTCCTTTGCTAGATGCCTGAAATCAAGTAAGCGTTTCAATGTCAAATCATCATTGCAATAAAAGCAGTCAGAAAAATCAACGGATATTAGGTTATTATAGGTTGCTTCTAAAATCTTTTTGTGCTAAATTAATTCTCATTATGTGAAACATGCCAATATAGTCACTCTCCCAAAAATTCAGGCTAAATGAAAATGTACATTTTTTATACAATTATGTTTATTTAGAATCATCATACTTTATCTAACCACATTACATAGTAAGCTTATTATAAAAGAACTTTTAATAAAGCTTTTACTATATGAAATACTTCAAAACCACATTCTATGTTGATTTAGAAGTCTTATTAATCAAACAGTATTACATATATATGTTTCTCTGTAAGTATCAAGGTGGAAAATTGTGATAATATAAATGAAATAACCAGAGAGAGTGACAGGTCAATTGGTTCATAACAATTCAATTAGTCTTGCTTGCTGCACTTTCGTTATTCACCATATATGAGAAATTATTAAATGATTCAAATTTTTCAGGGAAATACACTACAGAGATTGGAAAGTGAAGCCTTATGAAAAAACAATGTAGCTCTTCAAGCAAGTAAGGAGGGAAACAAATTATATGCTGCAATTGTTAAAAGATACGTATAGTTACATAGAAGAACCAGAAAAAATTACTACTGTAGAATACAAAATTTGCTTTTATATCCACAGTTAGCAAACAGGCTGTACCTACCAAAATGCTCCAATCACTGTAAGGAGTCGTCCTTGAGCATCCCTTGTGTTTTCAAAGTCCAGTTGGCCTTGATCTAGGTTTGTCACTATATGAAGGACATGGTTTAAAACTGTTGTACAAACATCTTGGTCACGACGATACAATGAACACACATGGCTGTGGTGGGAAAGTTGAATGTAAGTTTAGCAGAACACACTGGTTAGCTTATAAATTTAAAGTGAATATAGCATATGGTTTTAATTCTTACGATAACGGCTTCAGAAGTTCAATAATATCATCCATTGGCAAAGGATGCTCTTCTCCAGGAAGCTCCTTTAATAGCACTAGATACTAAGATGGTAGAGGAAAAATCAGTTTTATTCATAGGTCATTGACTTTAAACAACACAAATATGCATACATAAACAAATTCACATACATAGCTATAATTTTTTAAAGAGGGCATATAAAAAAATCTTTGGAGTCAAATACACTTGGATTCAAACCCCAACACAGTGCTAGCTTCAGCAGCAGATATACTAAAACTGGAACAGTACAGAGGTCAGTATAGCTCCTGCACAAGGATGACATGCAAATTTGTGAAGCATTCCATAAGGCTGTTTACAACAACCTTAACTTGTGTGATTAAAAATCTTTGCCTTACATCATCTACGAGAGTCTTTGTATTCTCACCTGTAAAATGGGGTTGTACTACTTCCATGATCAGATAACTGTGAGGATTAGAGAAAATAAGTGTAACAGTCTGGCCTTTATCATGGGAATTCAAAATGGCTGTTATTATTACTATTGTATCTGTTATAAAATAAAAATCTGAAATGACATCATGTCCCTACTCTCCAAACAATGCTTGGGTATAAGAGTTTAGCAATCAAACACTATATTCTACTAATGAATTTTAGAAGGGAGAAATAATCATAGGCAGGGAAGAACTCAAATACTGTGACCTGTCTTCCTCAAAGCAAGGCTCCATATGACACTATGGACACAAAGGGTTATTTGGCAATTACCAGTCACAATGATGGTTATAACTCAGCAACAAGTTTTTAAAAGAAGCCAAGTAATTTTCCAGTTATACTAAGAAAAACATTTCTTTCCTTGTCATCTATATGTAAAAAAAAAAATGCTTATTCCTTCTCAGATACTAACAAAGAAAATTAAACAATCTGTTTCAATATTTAACCTGAGAGTCATGTGTAATGGTACTGAGTGTCTAAAGTGACTTCAAACATCAAAGTTTCAAGAAAAGAGTATCACCCTTCCCCTTAGTCAGGGCTAGAGACTTAACTGGGTGTTTGCCAGGACTAAAACCAAGGGCTCCAACAAGGTAAAACCAAACTTGTTTGTTGAGGCCAAGGAATCAAAAAGAATGTTCACCAAGACTGTGAACATAACCAGGGATTCCATCACGGACGCAATCTGCATGTCTGCTGTGATTAGGGATCATGCTTGCCTTCTACAAGAACTGAAGACATAATATGTGACTGAGGCAGCAGATACTCACTAGGTCATGGACTCTACCCAACTGTTCACAGGACTGTGGTTAAGGAGATGGTCCAGACGATCAGAAAGTTTTATTGAATAAATAAGTAAATGTATCATGTGTGGGAAGCCAAATTTTTTTGGCTACAAATTTGGTAAGAGGAAAAAAATAAACATACCCTACAGTGATGGGTTGGAATCAGAGCTATTCATCCATAGTATCAGGTCAAAGACAAGATTCAGACTTCAAACACAATGTTGTATATTACATTTACAGTCAACATCTCTGTTTTGCCAGGCATAGTGTGCATGCCCCAGTACTTAGGAGGCTGAGGCAGGAAGATCAAGAGCTCAAGGCCAGCCTGAGCTATACAGTGAGACTCTCTCTAAAAATAAATAAATAAAAAGTTTCTTGCCCTAGCTAACTAAATCTATCCAAAATTCATGCAAGTTTTAGTGTTTTAGCATCTACTTAATTTTTTTTTCACAGTGCATTAAAAGAAAAAGTAAAAGCTAGGCATGGTAATATGCATCTAGAATCCCAGTTACTTGGGAGGTTGAGGAAAGAAGATTGCTTGAGCTCAAAAGCTTAGGTAATACCCAATTTGAATAATGAATTTTTTTTCTTTTTGGTAGTACTGGGGTTTGAACTCAGTGCCTCTCAGTTGGTAGGCAGGCACTCTACCACTTGAGCCACAGCCACAGCCCTGGCAATACCCAATTTGGAAAAAACAAAACAAAACAAAGAAAATGGCATATATTTTACAACTAGTCTCAGATACATTTCTCAAGCAAGCAAATTCACATCTTCCAAGGCACTATGTGATTTGTAAATATCAGGCTATTTATTACATTCTGTCAGCGGGAACTGACAGAACATCCAAGCCTCTTTGTTCCACTTGACTCACCATGTGTAGGTGGAGAGGTTGAGCAGGATCTAGTGTGCTAGAGTCAATTAACACTAACAATTTTCTCCGAATATCAGCTGCTTTAAATGACACAGTAGTAATGTGAGATGCAGTTACACACATGCACAAAAATTTGAGCATGTCTAAAAGAAGTATATCTTGCTTTGACAGATGTTCTCCAGCTATGGATTCACAGCACCTAAAAATAAAAAGTACTCATTAACACTGAGGGGCACAATAGTCACATACATTGCTAACTCAAACATCTCTTCTTCTTTCTATTGCCCAAATAATCTATCATTTACTTTTATTTGTTTAATTAGTTTAAATAGAAAACTGATAAATTCAATTAAAAGTCAAGGAAAGTTTAGCCAGACACAGTGGCTCATGCCTGTAACCTACAGGTTACATGCCTGTAACTCCTAGCTACTCTAGGAGTGTAAATAGGAGGATAGTGGTTCAAGTTGACCAGGATATAAACTCAAGACTCTATCTCAAGAACAATTAAAGCAAAAATGGCTGGGGTCATGGCTCAAGTGGTAGAGCACCTGCCTGGAAAGCACAAGAACCTGAATTCAAATCCCAGTATTGCAAAACTAGAATAAAATGAAATAAATCAGACAAATTTAAAGTGTATAGGAAGGGACTAATCCAAAATAACTATACTAAGACAAAATAAAATTAGCATAAAATTGGTTATCAATGAGGTCTTTTACAATGGCAAATTACTATAAAGAGGTAAAAGAAAACTGTTAAGAAGCAGGGAAGAAGAAGGATGGTTAAGAAAGAGTACTGTAGGCAGGGTGTACATTATATGCACGTATGTAAATATCACAATGAAACAAAAACCCCTTTGTACAATTAATTCATGGCAATTTTTTTTTTTAAAAAGAGGTAACAGAAATTCCTAGCAGTAAGGACATATTTACCTACAGTACTCTGGCTCTCTCCAGAATCATTTGCATCACTCATACTATTAGCAGTGTAATCATTAAACAGATCCAGGGATGGAGGATCCTTCACCTCCAACAGATTTTCATCAATGTTATCTTCCACTGATTCTACTTCTCCATAGTCAGCTGGCTTTTTCATAAAGGACACCTACAAAGAAGAGAAACAAAGTGTTTTGTTTTTTTCAAATTTGCTTCTTTCTGTGATTAAAATTAACCTAACTCAAGAATTCATAGGAAAAATGAGTATATGAACGATAATGTCTAGATGAAATACACAAAGTTTAAAAATAATTTCTTATATTAGAAGTCTTACAACATTCCACACTATTCAAACATCACATTTATTTGTGCCCTATAAATATATAAATAAAATTTGTCAATGTATCATGAAAAATAAATTCTAAAAACATTTTTATACTATCCAAATTTGATGAGACTGTAGGAAAAAGTGTAAGATGTTATGTCTGTTTTGGAGGACAGTAACAATGACAATATTCATCCAAAAGTAGTATTTTTGAGGTGGATGTGGTGGCATGTACCAAGAGTCCCAGCTACCTGAGAGGTTGAGGTAGGAGGATCACTTGAGCCCAAAACTTCAAGGCAAGCCTGGGCAACACAGGTGAGACCCTGTCTTCAAAAAAAGAAAGAAAATTTCACATCGCTTCTGAACAAGCAACTCCCTTACCAGAATTTCCCCTACATCCGTCATATACACAAATACAGTGCATAAGACATAAGCACAAGTATCTTTACAGCAGAATTCTTTGGAACAAAAAAAAAAGAAACAATTTAAAGTGTTAATTGGGAGCAGATAGGCTAAAACCCCCCCCCACTAATCTCATAATAGAATACCACACACTGCTAAATAATGTTTAGTAGTATACAGCTTATAAAACGAGTATAGTGTCAAGGAAAAATGACCAAGATTTGTCATGAAGTTAAGATAATTAGCTACAGAAGTATTTTTTACTTTACTACACGTTTAAACATCTATCGTTTCTGCTAGCCACTATAACAGCATGTGTGGCATAAGAACATTAGTATGAAAGAAAAAAAAAGTCACAACCAGCACAGTTGCCTGTATGGCAACACTTATTTTTTACTGTGTTCTGTTTACTTTTTGTTGGTGCTGTGAGTTGAACTCAAGTCCAAGGAAGGTAAGTGCTCTAACACTTGAGCCATGCCCCATCCCTTTTTTGCCTTGTTATTTTTCAGATGGTCTCCTCTGCTTTTTGCTTGGGCTGGTCTCGTGATCCTCATGAGCTCACTCCACAGGTGGCTGGGATTAAACACACACATGCCATCACCTCTAGCTGTTTCTTTTCATTTTTATTAAGAAAGAATTAGGCCAGTGGTATGACTACATGATAGACTGCTTGTCTAGTATTTATGAGGTCCTGGGTTTGATCCCTTTCACTGTGACAAAAATTAAATTAAAAAAAAAAGTGGTTCACATCTGTAATCCTAGCTACTTGGGTGGCTGAGATAAGGAGGACTGAGATTCAGCCTGAGTAAACAGTTCCTGAGACTCCCCACTTCAAAAATAACCAGAGAAAAATGAACTGGAGGTGTGGCTCAAGCAGTAGAGCATGCTTTACAGGCTCAAAGCCTTGAGTTCAAACCCCAGTCCCTCAAAAAAAAAAAAAACCAAAATCTCTAAATGTTAGTATAGCATTGCATAGAAACAGCTATGAGCCTGGACAATTCGTTCACAATCTATTATTTATTAAAAAATTAAAAACCAGGCACTATGTTAGGTATTGATATTAAAAAGAAATCAAATATGTATTTTCCTCCAAACCAAGTAACTTCAATTTCCACATTTCTAAAAATACAAGGTATTATACATTGTGAAATTCATTTCTAAGAAATATTTCAACAAAAAAAGTACCTTATAATCAATGAAATATAATAAAACAAAAAGTATACTTACTAAGCTTTTACAAATATCTGCAATGTCATTCATCAGCTTTGATGTCAACAATCGTAGGAAAAAGCCAGATGCAATTTTATTTGCATTTTGCTATAATTAAGACAATCAAAAAAAAAAAAAACCAGCAACAAAGAATAAAAGCAATTATTCTTGGTGATATTTTCTGTATCATGAATAATGATAAAAAATTCATTACTGGGACCAAGATATAAGTTGTTTCAAGAACAATAACCTCTTTTCTTAGAGGAATAATAACTATAGCAAATGCCTTTCATTGTGTTTAAACAATATTAAAGTACCTACTATTAATCCTAAACACAATAAGCAATAACTGCGATCAGACATTATTCTTTACTTTCTTTCCTTCTCCATTCATATAAAAACACAGGAAAACCCATTATAAAATAAAAATATATATGCTTGTAGTATTGACATATGCCCATGTACTTAATGCTAGCTTTCAACATGTTTCCAATTATTATTGACACTCTGGCCTGCCTCAGATACCCCCAAAAAGCCTGCTCCAAATCAAAACAAAGATTATAGACGGTACCAATTGATCTACCAAATTTCCACAAGATGGTCTGGCCAAAAGAAAGTAAGGTTTGTTCTGAAGCTGTTTTTCTTTTTGGGACTCACAAACCTCAAGGTATAGTGGTATACACATCATTCACTAGTCAACATTTTTTTATTAAATGAATGAAAACAGTCAGCAATAAAAGATTCATCTATATACCTGCATATAAAAGTGGTAAAACAATGAAATGATGAAACCAGTTTCATTAGAAACTCAGATTACTTATTTATTCCTCTGTATATTACTTTCTTCATTCAATTTAATACTAGATCAGTTTAAAAACATATAAATGGATCAAAAAAACAAAATCACCACCACTAAATAACTGCCCCATAGATAGGCTATAATATCAAGTAAAAAGACTATCTTACCTTGGTACAGTTACACAAGCAATCTGTACATAGATGGATCATACTTCTCAAAGAATTAATTCTCGATTCCTCATTTGTCTTATTTTTAAACATAGAGACGCACTCTCCTGCACATTGCATTAGACACTATTTAGAACAGAAGAAAAATATAAATTCCAGTTAAAATTATAGTTTAGCAGTGGTTTTTGAAGTTTCATTGAAGAGATCAAATTGTTTTTAGAAGTTACATATGGTCATGTAATAAAATTAGAAATTATGAACAATAAAAAATAAATGACAAATCTGAGTGGGTGTGATGGTGCATGCCTGTAACGCCAGCTACTTGGGAGGTGGAGGCAGCAGGATCTAGAGTTATAGGCAAAGACAGCAAGATCCTATCTCAAAAACAAAAGGTCTGGGGGCTTAGCTCAAGTGCAGAGCACTTGCCTAGGAAGCACAAGGCCTTAGATTCAATCTCAGTTTGGAGGACGAGGGAGACAAATCTTGAGTGAGCAGGAGGATCTTGAGGTTGAGGCCACCCTGGGCTACACTGTGGTTGGACATTGTCTCAAAAAAAAAAAAAGCAAAACAAAAAAATTTCATACCTATTTCTCTTTGCAGAGTAGTATCAAGAGATGAAGAAAGTTTCAAGCTTTGAACCTACTTGACTAATAACATCAATCAAGAATTCTTTAGAATGAAGCATCACAGGTAAGTTTTAAAAACAGACATAAAAATCAGTACTTATGTTAATGAGATTAAAGTTTAAATGAGATTGTTTCATTTACTACACTTATTGTTGGTTTATAATAATTCCAAAAAAATTTTTTTGGGGGGGATGGGACTGCAAAGCAAGTGCTTTACTGCTTGAGCCACACCTCCGGTCCATTTTCCTGTGGTCTCATAAACTGTTTACTTGGTGCTCCTCCTGATCTCAGCTCCCAGGTAGCTAGGATTGCAGGTGTTAGCCACTGGCATCCACAATAATTTCAAATCTTGAGAATGGACAGAAAGAATCACTACCAAGACTGCATAAATGAAAGAAAAAAGTAGATTGAAAACCGCTTATCCAAAAATACTTGGAGAAAAGAAGTGCTTCATTTTTTTTTTCTGATTTTGGAATCTGGCACATACATAACAGGATATCTTTAGGACAGGATCCAAAACTAAGGAGTAAATTCATTTTACCATATACACCTTAT